TGCGGCAAACGTATCACCTACCACGTGCATCAAGCGATAAAACGTAAGCGAAAATGTGACTGCAACAAAGACGATTTTGTAAAAGGCACGTACAGGCTCTTTGTGCTAACCACAGTGTCTGCAGGTTGGTTATGAAGCCCTGTAGTTCTCGATAGGGTTAGTGCAGCGGACGTGGCACTGTCTGAAGTGATTTAAATTGCTTGAGATAACAATGCAGCCAAACGTGAAGTGCCTTTAATTTCTTAGCATTAGTTAACCTATCTTATCATGTCGCAGGGGCAACAGCTACCTTGCAATATCTTGAACTTTTTTAGATATTATTCTGTCTAAAATGAAAACCCGCCATTTTGTTTGACTTGTTTCATGCTCATTGAAGATAATGAAAAGCATTTTTGCATTAAAATGGATGAAATAGTAGACCGCTGAGTGAATCGGCTCACGGAAATTAAATCGTACGACACATCCGATGAAAATTTGAAACACTCACTGCCAGTGAGTTATGCTAATTTTGGGGATCCCGGTTTCCGCAAGATTGCTCATCGCCTGTTCATGCAATTATTTTCATTTATTCCCAAACATCCGTTTTAGTTCTCTTTTTATCAGGTCAAGGTCATCAATGACTTGAGTTAGTGTTCACTTTCGACAACTCACTCGCCCTTTGGCTGAGGCGATCAGACCTCTCTGCTCGAGCTCTGGTCGATGTCATGTATTAGCATGGGAAGGTCGGTTCTGGCGTCGACAAGGGATGTGGTACCGTTACCGGAGTGAATTTCTCTTGGTCACGGCAAACGTATCACCAGCCACGTGCGTCGAGCGGCAAAACGAAGGGGAAAATGTGATGTCAACAAAGACGAATTTGTGGAAGGCACGTGCAAGCTCTTTGTGAATTTGCCGACTGAGAGTCAGAATAGCCATGATTCACTGAGTGTGAACGGGGCCGGAGTGAATTGCTCTGGTATCGTCGGACGTCTAATTATGGAACACGCACAAATGTTGCCAAACACAAACTTTGATCAGCGACATGGGAACTGCAACAAGCCCAATTTTCAGTAAGTTGGCGCATATTAGGCTGGAGTTGGTGTTGTTTAGCGCCAGGGTTTGTTAAGGAATATTCATAAAATATACAAATTGACTTTTCATGTATTCTACAAACGTAACACTGGCTGACGTCTAATTTGAAACCTGTTTCTTAGGTGTTAAGTAACAGGTGGTCGGGCGGTCGGTGGAGATGCATGGCGAATGTGGAGGAAAGAAGATGGGATTTAACCGATGACGTTGGTCGTGCATCTCAGTGGCACATCCCTATCCATTAACCTAACCACCCGAATAGAACGGCTCAAATGAGCAACAAACGAGTCACATGTACTGACAACCGGCCAAACACCTACACAAATATCTTCGAACCCGAATTACATAGGTAGGTGATCCACCCAGGTACCGCTTCTAAATCTGCTGCAAATGAGGTCAAATTCAAAACGCCACTATATTTGATATTAGGAAAACATATATGCACACGCATTCAACAGTCATGACCAAGGCACGTTTTCAAAGTACGTATATGGCAGAGGAGGCGATGAATTCCGAAGAACAAATTGCATCCGAATACTGCCATTGTTCCATTCGAGGCTGATTGACGAGTTTGGGACTACACATTAGCTGCTGGACTAGAGCTGCACGAGGGCCACCAGAGACACACTTCTTGGAGCCTCGTGCTGCTGCTGCTACTGTCTGTCAATTCATTGTCGACCAGTCTGTTTGATTGGTGTGCCTGAATTGCAAATGCATGGAAGGAGCATGCCAACGTGCTATTTCATAATGATTTAGTCGACAGATACAGCTTAGCTTGTTAGTTCCAACTTATGCTCAAGTGCTGACTCCTTGTCAAATGTTAATTTCCTTGCAATAGCATTCACGACATCAGCAGCCACTTGGATCACTTCGGTGCTCTTCCTCTTGCAAGGCGTTTCAGGGCACTGTTCGGTTGACCGTGGAATGCGAGGTGGTGTTTTAAGTGGAGTGCTTTTATCTCCTTTCACTGCTCATTTGAATCCGAATTTCTCGATTGATGCAATTCCTTGAAATGCCCTTACCTTGCCTCTCGAATTAACGATCGCGTCGAGATTGCCCTGCAAAACTGTTTGGTGAGCTCTGTTATGTTGCTTCCCCGTCACTTGTCGGCACATTAGGCCAAAATGCAATGGGTCGAATTTTAAATATTGGATTGGTCTAGTTATTGCATTCATCGTTTGAGTATTGTTCTAATGAATGAAGAAAACTAACGTGTAAATATGACGAGCGTACAAGTTCAACTCTATTTTCCAAGGAGAAATTCGTTGAACCTATCAATATGCTGCAAACACCTACTGCGTAACATTTACCGCATACACTCTTCTTGTAATATCCTTTGTAGGTTGACTCGTGGGTGTTCTGCACTGATCCAGATTGTACTTAGTCTTCTATTCAGGCGATTTATACTGCTTTTGTTTACGCCGCCATTGTTCAAACCTGTCGTGCGTAAAAACAACTGCAGTGGACGTTTTGATCTCCAGGAGCCAATTATAACCCGCGGAGTTTACGGCAGAACCGCTAGCTATGTATTTACACTCCCACTGACGCATCAGTAAGTCAGAATCCTCCAGCGCTAATGTCTTGACGATAAGACGCCAGTGTCAGTTCTTCAACTGTACCAGCACACCTCGGTGCAGCAGCAGCAGCAGCTGAAACACTGCAAATAATGTGCAGGTAACAGCGCAATTT